AAAGGGCCTGGACGGATGAAAGCAGGAGGAAAGGCTTGGGGCCAGGTGTGGGGAATGGGATGTTTGCATGATATGCTGGGGTTTGGGTGGGTCCCAAACAGCTGGCAGGGTGGGTGCCGTGTCCTCGCTCCTGGAGCTCTGCCAGCGCCTGCCTGGGAGAGGGGAAACCATCGAGGGTGACACACTGGGGAACACGAACCGCTGGGTCTGTGGGGCTGGGTGGGACCAGAGAGCCCCAGGGGGCCATGTGTGCCCAGGAGTGTCCCGGGCTGGGCTGAGCTGTCCTGAGTCACCGCTGCCGCCGCCTCCCTCCCGGCACTGCCGCAGCCGTGAGCCCCTGGAATGTGGTGGTGTAACATGGCCCACCGCAAACAGGGATCCAAACACCCAGAGGGGGTTGGTGTGGAGAGGTGGCCTTGTCCTTCCAGCAGGAGTCAGGATGTGGCCTTCAGGGATCCCCAGCAGGGCCGTGCCCTGCAGCCCCTCAGGCTGGGTGGTGCTTGGCTCAGCTCGAGTGAGTCACCTGCAGCAGAACTCCCAGGGATGGCCAGGGAGGATCACTTCGTACAGGGACACAGTCATCCTCCACTTGGGAATGGTGTCTGTCTCCAGGTTCCCTGCTCTGCACCAGTATAAGTGGCACTTAGGTATTTAACCTGTGGCACCAGTGCAGAGGAGGTTGGTACACCATAAACCCTGTGTCATCAGCCTCCTGGTTAATGACACGGAGCGTGTGAGGAGCTGAAAAGGCTCTGAGTGTGGAGGAGGGACAGAGGGACAGTGTCAAGTGCTGGTTTTTATGCAGAGGGGAGAAGTGCAGCTCAGTGTGGAAGAAGTGATGGTGAGCCCTTTGCAGCAGAGAAAGAACCTGACGTGGGGCTTTTTCCAGGAAGGACAGAAAAGACCCAGGAGGATTCCCATCTCACCACAAACAAACAGATTAATTTTCGAACTGCTTCACAAAGCTGTTTATTAGATGTGTGGGTCTGATTTTTAACTTCACATGACAGAAACTGAAATTTGCTGCTCTCACCTTCCCCTGCTTGTGTTCAAGAAACAACTGGATGAGGCACTCAGTGCTCTGGTGTGGTTGACAAGGTGGGGATGGGTCACAGTCTGGACTCGATCTTGGAGGTCTTTTCCACCCTGAATGATCCTGTGGTTCTGTAAATGATGCTGCTGGGCAGCCTTCTGCTGGCAGCTGTAGGGATTTATTTTGGAGAGCATTGAGTTAGCCCTTAGCACCCCATAACTGTTATGCACAGGGATAGCTGGGTAAATAGAGACCCAGGAGAGGAGCAGCGAGTCCTCGGGGCGCCGGCAGCGGGGTGAGCCCCAATCCCTGCCGTGAGCACCGTCCCGTGCCCCGGGAGCAGGGCTGGTGCTCTCCTGGCACGGCTCACGCTGAGGTTGCCTCAGAGCCTTTCCTAGAACCAACTCTTCAGCAGAAGCCGGGAGGAGCCAGCACTTCTCAGAATGAATCGCATGTGCATCATGCAGCACCGCTTCCTCTTTTTCCAGGCGTGGACGGTCAGCATCACCCCCGTGTTTGAGACTGAGCGATATTTGCTTTACAAGAGGGACTTTTCCAACTTTACCTAGAAAAGAGCTAACCCGAAACCCAGCCCTTGCGGTCAGGGGCTTCCGGCAGCGGCTCCGCTCGCTCCGGCTGCTGCGGCGGGAGCTGCCGGTGCCGGGAAGAGGGAGCCTGGCACACCAGGAGCCCCGGCAGGAGCGCAGCAGGCAGTGCAGAACAGCATCGCTGTGTGGGTGCCAGCAGCCCCTCGGGGATCACGGGGCAGCCCTTCCCTTCACGGCTCACTTGGTGCCTCTGAAACGCTTCCAGAGCTGCTGCGAGGGACGTGGCGCTGTGTCTTTAAAGGCGCCCCGTGGGTGTTGAGCTGAAATTCAGCAGAAACTAGATTGTGAGATATAAATCTTTGATTGACCCTGGGATGGCAGCGTTGTCCGGGGCAGTGCTGGGGGGTGGACAGCCCCTGACCTCCCAGCATTCCTGCCCAGTTCTGTTTGCACCAGCTCTGCTTCAGGCATCAGTGTTTGTTTGGTCATAAGAAAACACCCCCAGGCCCCCCAGCAGGGCCAGGGACGGGTGTTCAGACCGCACTCTGTGTCAGCAGGTTGGTCACATCCAGCTCCTCTCTGCAGGGCTGGGGGAGGCTGAAGAACAGGCTGAAGGTTTCCCATGGAGTGGTGGGATTGCAGGATAGTGTGTGGAGAAGGAGGTGTGCCCCTGTGTGCAGGCAGCTTCCCTGCTGCCCTCTCCAGAGGGTCCCGGCACCGCCAAGGGCAGCAGCACTGGGCCAGCGTTACCTGCAGCCCTGTCCCCATGGCCCCTCACACAGGGTGTTTTCCCAGGCCATGTGGGGGGACACTCCCTTATTTCTTGCTGGGTGGCACCTGGACATGTCCAGATAAATACTGGGTTTGAGTGGTGCTGATGACTTACATGGAATGGGAGTGGGGAAGCAGATCACACACAGCCCAATGACATGGGTGGGCAGAGTGATGTCCAGGTCCTTCCCCAGGCCTGTCACTGTCACTCTGTCTCTGCACAGGGACTTTCCAGGTGCCCCATTAACTCTTCCACGGGGGGATCAGCACTTAGCAGGGGTATTGCCAGTTCCAAGTGAACAGTGAGCCCTGTTCTCCATCTCAGCAGGGGCCCAGGAGGGCTGTGTCTCCTTTTTGTCAGCATTCTCATTCCTCAGCCCTCAGAGTTCACATGGAGTTTTGGTTTCAATCTTTGACCACTGCCATGAGAACTAGAGAGGTGCTTTGTTGGTTTTCCAAATCAAAGCCAAGATTTACCAACTTTGAGAGCTGGGGCTTTCAGAAACCCAGAGTCTGAAACCTGTGAGGAGCCTGCAGGAGCTGTGGGTGCTGGTTTGAGTTCCCCAGCTGAGACTGCCCAGCTCCTCCGGGGCCTGGAACGATCGAGTCGCAGCCTCTGCAGCAGCATTCGCTTATATTGCAAAGTAACCCTGAAAGTGCTTGGGTATTTGTTAACAACACACTGCAGGTAGGGAAGGTTGATGCTTCCCTCACCCCCTTCATCATTCTTGAGGATGGGGCCTGGGAGTGCTCTGGGGATGGCCTTGGAAAGCTCACCTTTTTGGGAAGGAAGAGAATAATAATATTTCTGGAGCAAGAAAGGTGCTTCAAGGCTCTCATGTCTGCCTAGAAACCTCAGGACATGGGCCTGAGGGTCCAGGCAAACCTACAAATACAAATTGCATTTTAGTCTAATTTGTTTTGTCCTCGAAAACCTCCAGCCTGGAGGAACAGAGGGCTGAGAACAGTTGGTTTAGTTTGTTTTCCCTGGGTGGGGAGCTGCTGGACCCGAGCACTAGTGCTGAGCTGCCCTCTCCTCCCTAATGAGGGTTTTACTACAGCTGGAAGAAAGCAGTGAAATGTTGCCTGTTCCTACTATTAAACCTTAATTGTGGGACTGGCATTCCCTAAAGTCCAAAATATTTTGGCACTTGTCTTGATAAAGGCATATTTTTTTGGTACATGGTTTTTTTTCTTTTATTAGCAGAAACCATCTGCCCTGTAAACAGAGATCAGGAGCAAACAGCCTTGCTGGCAGTTCTGTATCACGTGGGGATGCTGTGGTGCCTGCATGGGAAAGGGCCTGCTTTCTGCCTTCTCATCCCAGCAAGAGGAAACTCCAGGCACATCAGAAGCAGCTAATTTAAGCTGATGAGTCTTGGCATCGCATCTGAATTGCAGAGGGGATGTGACAGTAGCTCTGTGGAGAGGTGCACAGCCCTGCTTTAAGCAGGATGGATGCTCCTGGGAATGGGGGAGCACAGGGGAGGGAGTGGGTTCAAGCTGGAGATTTAGGCTGGGAATGGCAAAAAGCCAGAGAGTTTGCCATGCCCTAAAAATCAGCTGAGCCCAGCAAAGAGCCTGTCCAGCACAGTGGGGTGAACTTTGGTCGCCGTTACTCATCGATGGGGATTATTTTTGGTTACCAGCATCCCATGGTGTCACTGCAGTCGCCCATCAGCAGCTCTGCTTTCTTTAAAGCCTCACCAGCTGTTGCAGTGTCACCTGTGAGACCACACACAGCCTTATCTCAGCCAGCCCCAGTTTAGCTTCCATTTCAGAGCATATCTCCAGCGTGGGAGGAGAACCAGACTAGATGGGAAACCAGTTTGCTGTTGAACTGTAAGGTGTCAAGGCGCGGTGTGCACCCCTCCTCCTCTCTTGTGGCTTTCTGTTCCGCTCCTGCTTTTATTTTTAACGTCTCTGGCATGTACACAGTGCATGTGTGAGCCTCTGTACATGCCCATCAAACTGAGTGTGTGTCCACTGACATTCCCAACAGTAACTGCAAAGTGGAATATTAGAATATTAGTGTGGATGAATGAAAACTTTACTATAAGCGATGCATTGTGACGTATCTGTTTTAGCCTGAACCAGTCAGATTATGATTTTCTTTTTCATTAAAAGGGAAGTATTTCAAACATGGAAGTATTTCCAGGAAGAACAAGGTTTCTTTCATCAGAAAGCACAACCAAGCTTCACTAACCAAAAAAGTGCACCAGCTTTATTAGCAGAAAATGTTCCACAAACACAAATGAAAAGATTACAAGGTGGCAGTGGATTTCCAGCAGTGGGAAATGCTTGTCCAGACGTGAAATCTGGGCTGATTTAATATCCAGGGTTAGTGTATTTATACTGAAGTGTCTGTGAAGGGGAAAGGGTGGGGGGTGAGTTGCTGGGAGGAGAAGCTGGCACTGAGCAGCCCTAATTTCCAGCAGTCATGGCTGCAGCGCCTCGTTGCCCTGAGCAGGTGATTTTGCAAACTTTCCAGTAAGATGCAAATGCAGTTAACTCAGAAACTGCAGAGCTGTGTATCCAAGGAATGGCCCCATGTGTCATTATAGCTCTGTCTGTGCTCAGCCCTGCACTCTCTGGGGTGCAGGTTTTCACCTGGCAAACACTAACTGTGACCTGCTGTTGATTCCTAGGAGAGAAACCTGGACTGGTTCCCCCGGATGCGGGCCATGTCCCTGGTGAGCAGTGACTCAGAAGGGGAGCAGAACGAGCTGAGGAACTTGCAGGAGAAGTTGGAGTCCACCATGAAGCTTGTGACCAACCTCTCTGGCCAGCTGTCAGAGCTGAAGGATCAGGTAAGGGAGCAGATGGGCGGCCTCACATCCCTATGGGCAGGACACAGCTCTGCCAGCCTCTCACACCGAGGGGTGTTTCACAGCTCCACAGCTTCTGCAAACCCCAGGGACAACTTGTCTAAAGTAACTTAGGAAAGAAGTGAACAAACCAAATGTCCCTCCAGAGCCCGTGCCCCAGCTGACCTGCCTGCTGCTGACCCAACCAGCGTGTTCCAAAGGGGGCACCTCCACAGAGGGAAAACTTGCCTTGAAAAAATCACCACTGATGTATTTAAATCAGTCCTGGCTGGGGCAGGGAGCCTGTGTGTGTGTTGTTGTTGTTGTTTGGGGTTTTAACCCGAGGACCTGAGCAGGCTCCTGTCACTCAGAGGGTGTGATACCGATACAGGGGCTGTGTCACTGCACGGACCTCAAAACCCACCGAGAAACTGGAGAAGCGCTTGAGTGGTTACTGGTGCTGGTCCCTCTGTTCTGTCACTGCCACTGCAGATGTGATTTGGCTGCTGCCACACTCCAGCCTGCAGCATAGAGATCCCCACGAGATGTTTTGCATTGCACCATGTGTTGCTGCTGCGTAACATGTGAGTGCTCCACAAACCTCGGGGTGTTTTTTTGGTGCAGCAGGTTTTCTGCAGCAGGGCTTTGAGGACTTGTGTTTACTCCTGGCTTGGCTGGGCATCATGGGGCTGGTTCCCAGCCCAAGCCCAGCGATGGCTTTGTCAGAGCCACAGAGGCAGCAGGGCTTGAGCTCGTGTTGTCCGTAGGGATTGCAGCTTAACGGGGAGGAACAGGGAAAATGCTGTTGCCTGCGCTGGCGGGAGCTGTTTGTGGTGGCTGCTTATCTTTGTGCATTAATAACCTGAGCCAGATGGTTCAATTAGTTAAATTTATATAGGTATCAGCACTGGATAAGATTAATTGCTGACTTGCACCCGGGGCAGTCGATGGAGCTGCCCAGGGCTGGAAAGGCCAGGCAGCTTTGGGCATTATCTCCTCAGATGTGCCCTGCCTGCTGTGGCACAGCTGGCACAGCTTTGCCAGTGCTGATCCAGCCCCTGCTTTCCATCTCTGCTCGGGCTGGCTGGGGTGCTCCATAAGCCAGTTATCTTCAGGGAGACATGAGTCTCTGGAAGGCAGTGCTGACAGATCCCGGCTCCCTGCCTTCCGATCACGCTCTGCAGTGGGGACGGAGCTGGGCCCTTTTCCCGAACACCCCGTGGAGCACAAGGAAGGGATTAACATGTGGGACTGGGAGCAGACAGCCTCGCTGCTCTGGGCTGTAATTAGTTCTCAGGCACTGTGCCACAGAGCCCCTTGCTCCAGTTGGTCTGAGGATGGAGGGCAGAGGCAGTTGCTCTTTTGTCTGGGCTTCAGTACTTGCCGGGCAGTGGTTTTGCTGTTTTGCCTGGAAGCAATTATCTTGAAACATGTGTCTTGTGTCTCCCTGCTGAAGGGTCTGACTCAAAGTGGTCTGCAGTCACCAGGAGTCTTTCCACCGGCCGCAGCCAGCGCTGGCTCACGACACATTTATTTCTGAAGCTTGCAGCCCTCTTGGCTGACCAAGCACTAAAACCCCTTCTCGCTCTTTGTGAAAATAAGAATGAAGGGTTTAGCTTTTAGAGAGCTATTTGACTGTAAAAGCAAGAGAGGAAACCAGCTTCATTAATGTGGTGATAGCTTTTAGGAATTCCCCTAAGTACTATTATTGAGAGCCCTGCTGAAGATGCAGGATGCTCCAATTATGTACCAAAGCCAGTATATCCCTCCTCCTGATCAGGAACTGTCTCCAGGAAAAGGAACTAACTCAGGGAACTTTTATTTGTATTTATTTTCTTGTAATTAAATAAAGGGAAAACCTCTCATTCATTTGTTCTTCAAGCTCGTTAGGTTCCTGGAGACTGTAATTGTCAGAACCGGAGCTCCAGCCCGCCTGCTCTCCCAGGGTGCACCCAGAGCCATTAAAATCCTGATCGCTTTAATTCTGTGCAAAAAGATTACCCCAGAATTGTCTGCGGCAGCAGGGGATTAGATGTAATCACCCAGAAATCCTCCCCGGTGCGGCTCCGGTGGCGGAAGGTGTGAGGCATCGCTCCTGGACTCCGACCTCGCTGGGCACCCCCCCCCACCCCCGGGAGCCGAGCTGTGGCAGCACAGCTGTGACTCGGGCTGGAGCAGCACCGTGGGCACGTGGAGTCCAGCTGGGATCCTGTCGTGCCCCTCACCTGTGCCCTGTGCCTGCAGGTCGCTCCAGCTCACCCGTGACCTTTGGAGCAGGGCCATGGCCCCTGTGCAGTCACAGGCGTTATCGGGGAGTCCAGCTCGGCCCAGATGAACCCCAGGCCCCTGGGGCTGTGCTTTGATCCCATCAGCACTATTCCAGGGGCTGGCAGCTCCCTGGAGATACACTGTGTGTGGCTTTTATTGCCTGTTAGCCCAGGTGTGCTGTCACTGGAAAGCTTTTGCAAGAGATTCAGTCTCCAGGTAAATGTGGTGGCAGTAACTTGCTCCCTCCCGCTGCCCTGTGCGCTCCACACAAGCATATGTGTTGTGCAGCATTAATAATGTTCTGCATTAACACTACAATTGCATTTCTCCCTCTTATTTATGCTTGGTTGCTTTATTCTTCCCTTTTTTTAAAGCCACATCTACGAACAGCTGCATCAGGGTGCATTGTCCCTTTTCTACACAGCATGAAAAATAACCACTACAGTCCCTTTTCATTATTCTCTTTTCTTTCCATTTTCATTCCGTGTGTCCTCTGAATTACTTTATTGGTGGTGTGAAGTGCTGACTCTTGGTTTGCTCAGTGAAGCTAATTAATGTAAATGGGCATTTTGAACCAAGTCCTCATGGCCTCTTTGCATTCCCACTTGTGAGTTATCTTAGGAATGGTTGAAGGTTCAGCAGGGAGTAGCTTGGTTCAGCAGGGAGCAATGGGAAGGTCCCTCTCCTCCTGTTTCTGTTCCCTGTGAAGCCTTGGAAGCCTTTTGTGGAAAGAGAACTCCAGAAGTGTGGTGCAGGGGAGCGGCAGGAGCGACCTGGCCCCAGGAGGCTGCGGTCATCCTGCTGGAAAGGGAAAATACCGGCTCTGCCTCCCCTGGGGTCAGGCAGTGAGCAAGGTGCTGGGCTGAGGTCAAGTTTAATTATGGTCTCAGGAGGAATTAAGGTATTTCTGCCATTTCCCTGGTGGTTAAATGAGTGTCAGTGGACACAGAGTGAGAGCCGTGGGGTGCACAGCGTTGCCCAACCTGCAGCACATGCAGGGACCTTTTGGAGGTTGCCCAGAACTGCCTGTTTGGACCAATTCCATTCCTCGCAATGATCTCCAGACCCGAGGTCAGCCACCAGGCACCTGGCATGCCAGGATACCCTGCACCAGATGGGAAACTATCCACCAATGCTGAAAGTGGGGGTTTTAAATACACTCAAGTGGTTCAGTGGCGAACACGGTGGTGGTGCTGGGTTGATGGTTGGACTCAATAGTCTCAAAGGTCTTTTCCAACCTTAAAGATTTGTGACTCTAAGTGTGTTACAGATGAACCAAACGTGCTCACACCATGTCCCTTCTCCTGGAGTTATTGCCACAAGCAGTTACATGGGCTGACATTTGTCATTAAATATCATAAAACTGAAAAATTAGATGGTGGATGTAGATGTTGCAGGAGAAGCAATTGCTGGGCACCCTCAGCCCGAGGGAGGGAGCAGCAGGAGTGGGATGTGAGTGTGGCTGTTGGTGCACGCTGCCTCCATTCCACCATGGATCACGTGCTGTGGGGTGTTGAGCCCTGCAGGTGTCAGGGCTCTGGGGGAGCCCTGTGCCCTCGGGGGTCCAGGGACAAGGCATCCCCTCCCATACTGCTGCAGCCAAGCAGTGGTCACAGCAGGAGCTGTGCAGTGATCCAGCTGTGCAGTGATCCAGCTGTTCCCTCGGGAGCTGTTCCTTACATGACCCGTCGGCTTATGTAAGTTGTCAGGAACCTCCCAAACTTTGAAAAAACCAGAGTGGAGCATTGGATTGTGACCGTTTCTCAAGATCAGTAATAACAAACCTAAACTGTTTTCCATTCCTGGTTGCCCTGATCAGAGGAACATTCTATCTGCTGGGAAGCAGTGATGAAGGTGGGGCTGCCTGGCAGTGAGGTGGTTAAGTCCTGCCTTGGCTTTTGGCAGATAGGGAGGGATGTTGGCTCGCTCCGGATGAGACCGGGAGCGCTGGAGTCTATTCCAGCAAAGGCAAGGGTATTCCCAGCCTGACTGGAGGGCTCGCCCCTTTTTTCCGCCCTCTCCGTGTCTCGTCTGCCTCG